CTTTATGCCGCTGCATCCAAGAGTTTAAATGTGATTGTGCCACAGGAAGCCGCAACTAAGGGTGCCACCTCAAAAGAACACTAATTCTAATCAGAATGCCGGGCCAAATGAGCACTGTGCAGAACGTACCAAAGAAAGGGCAGGCGGCGTGGAGAGACTCGCATGAGGAAGCGGGACCTTGCAGGCGCCCGCTCACGTCCAGCTTCAGGCGCAAGCAGCGGCCACCTCCCTCCAGATGGTTGTCCACAGACTTGCTGGTCAGCAGGTTGGGCGTGTTTGAGAGGGTGCCTTCTTACAGTGTCACCGGCCGTCTTCTTTCCACAGTCATGTCATAACCCAGGAGAAGTCATTGACCGGTATCCAAGCCCACTAGACTTACAAATGTTCCTCCTCTCCTGGGTCACATGTTTGAAATAAGCACCCCTGTCAGTATGCAAGTGAAGTACAGGCGTAGTAAGCTCCCAGAGCTGTGTCCCAGATGCCCAGAGGTGGGCACTGAGTTGGTGTCCCTTGGGATGTGGGGTCAGCAACAGCTGCCACTGCTGGACGAAGGAGAGGGAGGCGGTGTGTAGACCAGTGAGTGAGTGCAGGGAGGGAGCTGAGCTGCCTGCCACGCACCCTCCTCCCCGACGACGGAGGCAGTCTTCACAGCTGTCACCCAGTGGTGGCGGCCACCTTTCACCACGAAGAAAGGGGTGAACTTTGGTTCCCAAAGGATGGGGACCCCTGTGTCTTACGTCAGCGACTCACCTTCCTGTCTGTGCTCGCTGTCCATGTTCAGCCGACCGTTGAAAGGGTCAGGAGAAGGAGCGTTCGCCTCTCTCAGTCTTGGTGGTTTTGTCTCCCGTTGCAGGCATTAAGTTTGTCCGGGAGTTCCACATGGATTGGAAACAGGTAGGTGTTCTTCCATTTCCAAGCCCGCACTTGTGCAGAATGAGCTAGGGAGTGAATGCACGCAGGTGGGTAGCCTTTCACTTTCATTTGATGTAATGAAAAGCTATTTGATTAAATTCATAGCTGTAGCTCAAGGAGTGGAAAGGTTTCCAAATTTTACCATAGGCTGTGTGTGCGCGCGTGCGCATGCTGTGTTGTGTGTGTGTGTATGTGTGTGTGTGTGTGATCCACAGTCACTGACCATCAGCCCGAGCTCCCTCGGCCCTTCAGGACAGAGTCGAGCTGCACCCCTTGAGTGTCCTGGGCTGTCATCTGTACGGGGCGGGCTGCCAACCTGGTGGGCTCAAGCTAGCAACCCTTCGGTGAGCAGCCAAGTGCTGCATCGTTTTGCCCCAGGGCTCCTCAGACCTAGTGTAGGCTTTCCTGCTGTGACCCGGGCAGAAAGCAGGCTCAACACCATAGTATTTTACCTTCATGTATCTTAGGACAGTCTCACATTTCTTCCTTTTGTTGCTGAAAACAGTCTTGTGAGGGTGTGACTGTCTGTGTGCTAAAACTGAGTGGTGAGACTAGGGCCTGATGAAAAGAATGAATGAGGAAAACTGCTCTTCCCAAGAAGAGCTCCCGGGGTGCCGGCAGTGCGAAGACTGGCTGGAAAGCCCTTCCAGGCGGGGGCTCCAGACAGCCATGGAGCCGTCCTGTTAGCTTTCCGTTCCTTTTTGCCGTGACCCTTACAGGAGTATGTTTCATCCCCTAATTATGAGCAGTTTGTATTTTTGTTTACACGGAGATTCATCTAGGATATAATTTAGGTTAAAAAAACAATTTAAGTGCCGTGGTAGCCCCTCACCTCCCTTATCTTTCTGTTTTGTGGCATGGGTTTTCAACAGCTGCCCCCGCCCTCTGGGAGAAAAGGTGGAGCCGAGCTTGCATGTCAGCACGAGAGCCCTAGACTAGTCTGGAAGGACTTCACCTCCAGGCCTCCCTGCTCGGGGAATGAGCGGAGGTTCTCCGCTGCCACGCAGTTTAATAGCAGAGTTCCGCTGAAGAGTAGGGTTCTTGCGGCCCTGTGCCCAGCTGCCACCTTATTCCCAAAGCCACAGACTGGTTAAAGCTCTCTCAGGTGGTGCGGGAGGGGACACCACGGAGACTGCCAGGCCTCTTACCATGCATGCCCTGTTGACTTTCTTTGTGCAGCGATACAAGGTCAGCTACAAGGAGAGGAGACAGCCGGTGTACCTGCCCTCGCCACCCCACCCCACGCCATTGCCGTTCTACCCCCACCCCTTGGGCCCCTACTCCCCCAGCCCTCTGTATCCCCCGGGCATCATCGGTGGCGAGTACGATGTGAGACCCTTGCTTCCCTTCGCTGGAGGCCCAATTGGTTCCCTCATCCCTGGGCCTGGGCAGATTCCTGGCCAGTTTCCCCCACGCAGACCACACTTTGATCCAGTGATTCCAGAGCCGAACCCCACCTTGCCAGGGCGAGGAGGCCCCAATAACAGAGGTCCCTTCAGGCCCGGCAGGGGCCGGTTCACAGACAACCAGCTGCCATTCATGTGACGGGGCTGGCCGTCTTACTTGGGGGAGCTTGTGCTTTGATGGTGTTCCGGCCCCCGGTTCCTCCCTCGCTCCCCAGGTGTCATCCCTTGGTGCACCGACTGCTGGTTCCTTTCCTGGTCCTGACTGACAGTAAGACAAGGCAGCCATGCGTTCACAGAATCCTTTCAGTAGAGATGCTGGCCCTCTAGGGGTGGGGCCTGGGCCCAGTGCTGCTGTTGAACAAGGTCTCGATTTGGGGACCCTTCACCTCTGATTTCTACCCCCTGGCTCTCCCCTGGGACCGGAAACTGTTTCTTGATAATACTCTGCATCCGATTTTAAAGAAAAGTACATGTCAATAACCTGGCTGTCGTCCTGACTTTTATTGGAATACTCTGCGTAGCTTCCAGGGGGCCTCATC